TATTTTTTATCAATTTATAAATTTGTTAAAAATTAATAATAATATATTTATCCACAAATACAGATATATAAGTGTAAAAATATATTTATCTATTATTATAATTTTAAGGGTAAAAGAGGATGAAGAATCGAAAAGGTTAAGATAATATTGAAAAAAAAAAAACTGCAGTGGACAAAAAAACTTTCACTGAAAGAGATAGTATCTGATGTGAAATGAGAATCCAATACGAATTTTTTACCATAATCGCATCACAATTTGTTACTCAAACGTCTTACTAATAATCATACTGAAACGTGACTCTAATGACATCCAAATCCAACCTAAATTGACTAAGCTAAATTTCTCGTCACATGTAGAGTAGACTTGTATAAAAATAGGATTAGTTGTACGAATTAAAAAATTCATTTTGGTAGGGCTAAAAAATAAATTAAAAGCTAATTAAATGAAGTTGAACTTAAATTGAAATCACAAATAAAAATTAATTGGGCTTTAGACATATATTTAGGGTCCAGAACTGGTAGTTATATATAAATATATATATTTATAATTATATTTTATAAAAATAAATAGATAATTAAATTATATATATATATATATATACATTAATGCTCTATGTTTATATATATTCCATTCAAACATCAAATTAAATTAATAAAATCATTTTTAGGTTTTTATTTTATCGATTATTTATTTTATCATATTTAATATATATTATAAAATTGATTTTTATTTTTTTTCGAAAAAAATTAAAATATAAATGATTCTAAGCAGATTTAGATAGCTTTTTTATTTTTAAAACAGACTGGACCTAGACAGCAAATGAAATTTAAATTTTGAGTTCAATTGAACTTTGACAAGTTTGAAATTTATTAGTATCTTGTTTAGATTCATTTTGAATTCGGTTTCATCTATGAACAGATCCATCATAAAGTCATAGAATTAAAAAAATTAAAAATAATATTTCTTAATTACATATTATGGTTAAAATGAAATAAACAAAATAAATGTATGAAAGGAATAAAGTTACATCATAGAGTTGAAGTAGCTCAAAAGCTTTTTTCTATAAAAAAAAATCTATCAATGTTAAAAAAGTATATGAAATTTATTTTTAGTTCTATGAATATGTACTGCTTTTTATTTTTAGTTCTATTTGAATAAGTGATTATAAGTGTGATTTGTTAGTAAAATGTTAGATTTCTTTTGAAGTTATAATTTATTAAATATTATATTCATATAATCAATTATTATATTATAATTAAGTTAGATTACTGAATAACCGATTAATAAACCATAATATAATTAACAATCAAACTTACATACAATGAAATTTAAACTTAAAATTTCAAAATTTTAAAGTCTCTTTCTTACCACTAAGCCAAATATTCATTAACTAGAATATTAGATCCTTAATTCAGTTACAGATGCACTAATACAAGTCAAAAAGCCATTAAGACGCAAGAGCACCAATGCTCCATCAGTTAAAAAGATTTTATTTTTGTCTCTTGTGAACTTGTGGATACTAGTTTTTATTACATATTTAGTCCATTGAGATGTTTGTTGGATAAAATATTAAAAAGATGGATGTCTTTTTTTGATTTTATATGCCTTCTAAAATAAATATATTGAGAGTTGAAACATGGAGTTTGGATTTTTGCTGATTGATTCATGATACGACGTCCAATTGGAACCACATGGTCAGCGCCGTGTGGCGAAGGGGTGTGAGTGGATAACATCCAAGACTTTCCCTTGGCCTTTTAGAGCTTAACCAGTTAGCCTTCCGAAAAAAGTAAAATATAAAAAAACAAGGAAATGCACATTAGCACGTTCTCCTTGACTTGTACAAATACATAATAATCATAATAATAATAATAATAATAATAATAATAATAATAATAATAATAATAAAAATAATAACGATCACATTTAATTTAATATTTTTAAATAATATATAATATTTAAAATTTTTAAAATTTGATTTGAATTCAAATAATTTTTTTTAATTAATTTGATCTAAATTATATTTTATTAATTTGATTTGATTCATTTATTTTTAAATTTTGTATATATTATTTTAATAAAAATTTTAATATATTTAAATAGATATATAAAATAATTTTTTATTTTATAAAAGATTAAAATTTATAAAAAAATTAATAAAAATATATAATTTAATTTTTTATATTCTAATTCAAAATTTAATCTAAATTTAATATTTCAACTTGTTTTGAATTAAATAAAAAAAATCAATCTTAACTAAACCAAACAGTAATTTTAAATTATTTTTTTCACCACTAAGCGGCGGTGTTTAGGGGCGTTCAAATTCCAGGGGGGAAAAGAAAATACCATGCGAAATGACTTCACAAATGGTGAAACCAAAACTAATTTAGGTCTCCGAAGCCAACCTACATCCCATCCCATTCACCACAATCCAGATAGAAAGAAAGGGTAATTTCTTTTTCTTTACAAAAAAAAAACAAAGACTCTAATAATTTGATTAATTGAACAAAAGCATGGTAAGTTTAAAGCAAGGTTTTCAATAGCAAATATTTAGTATATTATCATCAAAATAATAGCAGTAGTCTATTCTAGGCCTCACACCAAATTAAATACTACCACTGTTGAAAATGATGTTTTCTCTATCATATATTGATGAATAAGCAAGTGTAGTACTTATGTTTGGTGTGGCTGGATATTCTTTGTGACTACAAAGCATTACTCTGTCACGTAAGTATCATATTTCAAACCAAAGCATATATTGATAAGACAAGCCCTTTGGCCACGATCACATGCCAATAGCCCTTGCCCGAACAGGGCAACCAAATTTCTATCCCTTGCCGCCGCTCCATATTTTGGAGAACGCTCTTCTTGCCTCTTTTTGTTATGAGATAGAGATAGTGGACTCGGGGATATCATGTAACTAATTTCAAAAGGAAAGAATAAAAAATAGCAGAGCCCGACTTAGGTAGCTCTCAGGTAGCTTAGCCTTAATCAAATCATAGTGCAATATGAACTAGTTGAAGGGCAAATTATGTTCATCACAAATCAAAAGCGGACCCAACTTTTTTTTTTTTTCAAGCACAAGAAGGCAGAGACTAAATAGGAGGGGAGGAGGAAATGGAAGCTATGGTTCAAATTCATAGTAAGCTTTGAGGTGGGCTGGGGCTTAGTGGTGGGAGAAATTATTTATCACGTTAGTGCATGGTGGTGGGTCGTGGCCTCGTGGCTATCATCCAAAAAAGAATATACACTATTAACGACCCCCATAAACCGACAGCAAGCATTTGTAATATTGTCAAACAAAACATGATAAATTTTGTCAAAATCAGATTGGGTGGCGGTTTGATAGGTAAGTTCATATTCGAGTTGGGTCATTTTAAATTTAGTTCATTTTGAAGATGAAACCCTATATTTAAATTTTGGTGACGCATAGATAAACAGTATATTATCAAATTTCAAGTCACCTATGATTTTTTTGGGTTAATTTTTTAATATTTAATAAATATTTTTCTAAATTTTACTTTTTAAAATGGGATTCATTTTACATCAATTATTTTTATTTTTATTTTTTCAAAATTTAAATTTTTTATGCTATCTATTTGATACTTAATGTATATCGAATTTTTATTATTTTATTTTATATTTAATAAATATTTTTAAATTTTTAAATTTTTTTGTCTCGTCAATATCAATACCAAATGTATGTCATGTATCAAATTATTTTTTCTTTTTAATCTTTTTTTCTGTTTACATTTTTAAAAAATATATATTTATATATTTTTATAATATTTTACCTTGAAAGGGTTAAGTACATAATTTGTCATTTTGTTTTAAAATAACATATCTTTGAATTTTTTAAAGAAAAATGAGATCAGATAAAAAATATATTTAGAATGTTTTATTGCAATTATTTTGATGTATATATAAATTTTATATTTTATTATTTATTTAATTTTATATCTATATATATTACATTAATGAAAGTATTTTTATCTTAATTTAATAAATTAATATTTTAAACTCAATATGAAGTGTCATATGACATCATTATGAGTTTTTTTATCTCATTTTTAATTTCTTTTTCAGATCATTTTGTTTTCTGCATTCAGTTTTTTATTGAACAAATTTATAAAAAAAAAAAACCAATTAAAATATCCACTCTGTTCGCTTTTTATATTTCATCTTTTTTTTAATTAAATCAATTTTATTAAAAAAAATAATGAATAGAGATGACAAAAAAAAAATTATATCCCCCCCCCCCCAACAACACGAGTAATACTATGAATATTAGGTAGATTTCAAATTATTCAAATAATTAAAACATTTTTAAATTAACACAAATCGTTTCTTTTAATAATTTGCATTATACTTTTTGTTTTTATTTAATTTAAAATTTACAATGAAAAGGGAAGATACATTATGCTCAAATCAAATTTGATAGGATCCAAACTAATCGAATTAGACAATTTTGTCAGCTCTAGAACCATCCTACCTGATATTTAACTGTATAGTTAAAATTAACAACAAATCGAATCGAGACGAACTTTTATATTTTGAATCCGATTCAATTTTATAATTATAAAATTTATATCTATATCCAATTTAATTTTTTATATTTTTTAATATTCGAATCTGACTCAAAACTCAATATTTCATAAATCATATCCGATATGACTTAAAATTAATAAAATATTATTTTTAAAATATAAAATATTATTTTTTAAAATATAAATATATAATTATATAAATAAAAAATTTAAAAATAATTAAAAAAATAAAATTTAATATAATATCAAATTGAATCAAATCGAATTTATTTAAAACTCAAATTTCAAATCAAACCTGACATCGATTTTTTTTTTTCATAATACTTGATTTGATCTAAAATTCGATTTAAAAAAAAAATCGATCTTATGAGATCGAATCAAATCAAAACCGTTGAACTTGAATCGGACTGTCAACCCTACGTATAGCTCCCATCTTGAGCTTGGTAGATTATTTTTTGCCTTGTCTGGAAATGACCCATAATAATAAACTTTTGCTCAATCATATGATTTTTAAGACAAAAAAATCATAACAAGGATTGCTACTAGCTAGAAAAGCCTTAGTGCTTAAAATGACCATGGGAAAACAGAAGTTAACTCTTCTCTTTCAATTGCCATATGGTCATATAGCTTACTGCAAATCACTCAATGAAACCGTACCGAGAAAAATATAGATCAGCAACGCTGAACTGCATTCCTCATTTAGCTTAGTGATAATGGCCATAACGAATACAACAACGAATACAACAGGTTAAATATTATGCTACCAACTCTTACAAGGAAAACTACACCGTGAGCACTCCATCCATGTCAACATGGTTAACCCGGATATTTGATAAGGGCTCCGTGCTTAGTCCCTAGCCACCAAATTCATGGCTGATCCAAGCTCATTTTGAATGCATCTGCAATAAGGCAATCACATCTCATTTACTTTGCCCTAGTAACAGCAGTCCTTTAAATTGGGCCAGTTGACAGTATAAATATGTTGCATTTCTGCTAATCATTAGTTCAGGCAGTTGAAATATGTTGGAACTAACAGGAAAGTTTATATACGGCTGAACTAGTGGAACTAATTTAAGACTCATGATAAAAGCCCGAGGAAAACTGTTCCGATAAGAGATGCCACAAGCAGGCTTTGTTTCCTGCTGTAAGAACCAAAACAAAAAATCATGATAGGTAACTATCTAACATACTTCGGCTAGATAGTAACATAGGCAGTACGATGATGAAATTTGGGCTGGGTACATGCACTTCTAAAATGTGTATGGGAGAACATTAATAATCATATCAAATTTGTCCTGGATTTCCTAGTTTTAAACCCCAATATCACATAAAGACAAGCAAGGTATGAAAGAGATAAATCATTTCACCTTTGGCATCAGAATGAGTAGTGAGAATGGCAATCTTTGGAAAATTTTCAATGGAGCTGCACTGAAGAGGCGTGTAAGGTTCTTGTGCTCGGGAAGAAGAATGAGGTTTACTTTGTTTCAACTGCTCATTTGAGAACTTATCTCCCACTTGATTTAAGTAGATGTCCAAGGTAGGAGATGAAGACGATGCCAACTTTCTCTTGTTCTTATACCTTCACCTAACAGGGGTATGAGAAACAAACAGCAAAGCAAACTAGATTGTGCGCTTATTTGATTCTAATGTACGACATATTTTCCATGAAAGATACCTGTCTTTCCTCTTCTCAAGATATCTTTGCACCAATGCTTTTCTGGTAGTAGGACCATCTGGAAGCAAGTTACATTAAAGAATATATTTGCTTAGCAAAGAAAAAAAAAAAGAAAACGTAAAAGAATATTTAAAGCAAATAAAGGCAGAAAGAAAGTTGATATCATCATTGCATCAAAGACACCATCATCTTGTATATTTTTGTGATCATATATTGGTTTCTTTTCATTCATCAATCATTAGATCAATCAATTACCTTAATAACTAGAAACCACATATCCTTTTATTCATGCCATGAAAATTAGCTTTATGGTGTATCAGTTTTATCACATTAATGTTTACACACAAACAGATATAAAACGAGCATCCAAAAATTAAAAAAAAAAAACTTGTAACCCTATTTCCCTTTTGGAATAAAAAAGGTCTCAACATGAGCCTAAAAATATGTTTTCAAATGAAGAAAAAGCACAAGAAAGGAAAACTCTGCTTCTGCAGTTTGGCCAATTTGTATTAGAATGTGATATTACCAAGCCCAATCTGTAATAAACCTACGGTTCATGTCGCAAATGGCTTTACCCAGCTAAACCAACAGAAAGTTTAAAATGCATGCTAATTGCTAAATGATGATTTTTTTTTTCTTCACTACGTTAGTTCTCAGATTAGGCACACATCTCTTGATATTTTTATCAAGGGTCCATCACAGTTGTCATGTCATGGTTCAGAATCAAGGTCAGTTAGTCCATCCTGGAACTGCAACACCTAAGAAACACCATGACTAATTGTGTATTTTACCCAATAATCATAAAGGCCATGAACTTAAAAAACCTGTACGTCAAATACCAGAATTGTCTAATCAAGCAGACAAGCAATTTAAAAGTAATTTCTAATCAATTATATAGACAAACTTTTTCTAGCCTTTTTCCTTTCTCTTTTTATTGTTGGCGTGGAGGAAAGAGGCAGTGGGGAGGGGTAGGGGATAGGGGGTAGGGAGAGATGGAGGATCTATAACTGCAGTTCTCATTTGTTAAAGTAAAGAAGGATATATGTTATTCCAGCAAATAAACCATGTTTGGATGCCGTCATATCTGTTCCAGGACCAAGTTTATTAGAACACCAGTTCTTACCAGTGGCGGATGCATGATTTTTTTTGAGATGTACACTTATAATATATAAAAAAAGGTCGATGGATTAAACAATTTTGTCAATGAGAAAGGTGTCCAGTGAAAAATTGAGTCCAGGGGAAAGTTTTTCTTTAAATTTTCTTATTTTTTAATTTTTGGTGTGTCCATAGACATTCTACTTCATGCTTTGGATCCCCCTCTGGTTCTTACCCATGATCAAAGTCAGTTGAAGTTTCATTTATTTCACTTAATGTGCAATCAATATAACAAGAAAAAGAAGATTAACCAAAAATATTGTTCTAGGTTACAACCAGCAGAAAGGATTTGATACAGCAAAAAAATAGGGAAAAAAGGCAGCAGAAGGAGGTGATTGGGGCACCTGGAGGCTCACGCTGCTATATTAACTTCATTATGGAGATGATAAGAAGTAAAGACGAAAAAGTGATAATGAGCATGAGAACTACTGGCAAGGGAGAAGTAAGTTCCAATCATAATTCATTAAATCAAGGATCGGCATCGCAGTTGCACCCGTTGTAGTTCAATTATTTAAATTTATGATTTAATGGAGATACCTTAATGAGTATTTGTGGCCAAAAGATGACAAGGGGCACATCCATCATCTTGAAACATTAATCAAGGAGAGGTGCTAAGCACAGATGTAAAGCAGATATAGGAAGAGTATTTAATATGCATGCATCATCACTCCTAAACATTAAAGGACCTGGAGAGACTTTATGAGATGATTAGAAGGAAGCATATACCATGGCTGTCTTCAAGAGATACATTGCTCTCTTCTCGAGGAAACTGACAGTTTTCTGCCGCCTTTACTGCAAACAAAATGAAAGTGGCAAATCAATAATCAGTGGAGAATTATCCTGCTATCCAGTCACTTTATCATACCCATTTTGAAATCAAGACAGTACATTTACCATTCATAGATATTACTAGAATATAACATGGTTCATTATGAACTAAAACAGGTTCATCCAAGCAAAAGACTTAAGTTCTGATTAAGTTCTGCTTATGTCTCCTTTTGACCGCTCTGGTTCACGCAAACTACAAATGGACTTAACAGAGAAGGAAAGAGACTCTATCTAATGTAAAAATGAAGTGAAAGTTAGAAACACCTAACCTAACCTAAAAGCGTACCTGTTTGCAGTGATGGCAATATAACCATTGGCCAGCATGGGCTTATTTTGACACCTGCAGTCTGTAAATGGCATGGAATGGACCATGGTGTGGTCCTCTGATCAGCTAGAGTTTCCCAAGGCAATGAGACTGGGCTTGCAGCAATCTGCAAGATTGTTTCCGCCTGCAAAACCATTGTAAATCAATATGATAACACTTTTTTATAGTGTGATACTCCATATGATATCTGAACTATGAAGAAAATAGGAAGGTATATGACCTTACAACCAGGCATATCATCATAGACATTCACTTTCCCACAGTAAAAAATTGTCATTTGTCCTGCTGGCTCTTTTGCTAAATCTGCAGTTCTGGACAGTTGAGAATTGTTCAGTCTTAGAACTTCAGTCAGTACTATCAACCATGGGAAAATCAGTAATATGATATCTTCCTTAGAAGACATGCTCAAGATCAGTCTACATTGAGACCCAAAATTTTCACTCAAAATCAAGTTGATCTAACTTGTTCGTAAGTTAGTCGCACTTCAATGAACTATGACTACATTTTTTTAAAACCACACAATCTGAAACAAACTAATAAGATACAAGATTTTAATTAGAAAATCTAATATGAAATGAGGCTGGTTATCAGAGTAAAGAAGTATTGGAATTCAACCAGCAAAGCAATAAGTGTAGTCTCCTCAAAAGCCTTCACTACAAAAGGTGACGAAGAAAACATTCACATCCACCACCTTCTCTGTGTAATGCTAAAAGTCTAAACTCATTTGATCAACTGGTATCTTGATACTTGAGAGGTGGTAAAAAATTTTAAAGAATTTTTATGTATACAAATAAATGACCGTAAAATCATCACTACCAATGAAATGTTAAATGCAGAACTAGGAGGTAAAGCTTTGATTAAGTATATAGTTTTTACATGCTAAAATGGTGAAAGATATGAAGAAATATTCAGGGAAGAGCATACATTTTAAATGCACTTACATACCTACATGAACCTCTAACCAATAGCGATACAAGGTATAAACTGAGGATCTAAGACAGCCAGAAATTTTACTACAGAACTACAAGATTTCAACTACTTCATACTTGAATATTCCTGAAAGAAATATCTAGTTCCTCTACAGTTGGTATTGATCACATAGGAACATCGATAACAAACCCACATCTGACAAGAGCAAATAGCTAATCACCAATCCAAGTGCTGTATTATACCACATAACCTGCATTGGAATGTAAATCGTATCTTTCTTTCTTACTTTACATTTCAGTTAATCAAATTGTTAACTAAACATTCTTCATAAAAGCCAATTTTCTCCTTTTCCAAAATTTCCATCACCTACTTTCTCCATCATGAGCTCTTCATTTATTTATAGGAGCCACATTTGGTTTTCTCATCAAGAAGCAGGACCATAAATTTTGAAGGAGTCAAATGGAAGCTAGCCTGAAACAGAAATGAGGCATTAATAAAAACTGAAAAATTTTAATCCCAACTTAGTTATCTTATTCGCATACGAGACGGCAGTCAAGCATTCTAACTAACAGGAAACCCTCGTTTGGAACTTACTCCACATTTCTTTTATACCTACCTTCAATGTCCTTCCATTTTAATAACAAGACCAATGAATTACTGAATTACTCTATTAGGACAATTATAGTATCAAGACTCTAATAGAGTTACTCTCCTATGACTCCGACAAACTAAATAATCAACAGTTAAGGTAATCACCAAATCCTCCCACGTATCCCATAACACAAGTATACTGATCCGGCACCATCCGATTATCCACCAATTAACGGTTAGAGCATAACTAGGTGAATTAACCCTAGAGGATAATCCAGATTGCAAGTCTAATACAAGGAAAAAGGCAAAAGACAACTTATGATTAGCATGCCGTCATTGTTGACCAAAAGATTTGGTAATAATTGCAAGCACACATTCGACCTTAGAAATGACAGATAATCACACAGATATTCGGGCACATGTGCAAATTTAGATTCCATTCGAATAGAAACGTTGATTTTAAACCGTGACTAACCATAGCAACCATCAATAACGAACAAGCTTAAACAACAATAAATTGGATCAAAATTCCTAAAGAATAGGAGAATCCTCACACGCATTGAACTTAGCTCAAATGCTTTCGTTCCATTACACAACTGGGGTTATTTAGAAAATGGAAAAAATAGAGAGCTAAATTAATTTAAAAAAAAAAAAACCTTGGAGAAACAGAGTCATCTCCAGAGATGACAGTTCGACCGGCGTTGTCTCCTGAAAAATCGGATTTCGAGGGATCTAGACGGGGAGAAGGAACAGATTTGCTGACTGGAACAGAGCTCCCGTCATGATGTGTCGTTCCGTTCGGCAGAACGGTTGAATCAGAAGCGACCTGCAAATATTTTATTTAATGCAACTAGTTTGACTAAAAAACAGAAGTTTCTAAAAGAATGTCTACAACTGGTACTTTTCATGCCTTTAATAAATAAAAATAAAATCAAAAGATTTATTTATTGAAAATTTTCCACGCACACGAGGAGGGTTTTCGGGGCAAGGAGTGTAAAGTTTCTTGCGAGCTTCGACGGCGTCCCAATCCGATGTCGTTTCGAGAAGAGTTTTCAGCGAGATTACCTGCTGAATCGCTTGCGATTTGTTCCACGATGGTCTCCGCATCCCTACAAGCAAAGAACAAGAAAAAAAAAAGTTAAAAAATTAGAACCAAAACATGCAAGCACTTTTACATAAAAAAAAATAAAAAAACAAAGAAAAGAAAAGAAAACATACACCAAAAAAAAATGCAGAGAGAAACCTTTTTCTTTGAGGTAACGGCGGCAATCTTCGCGAGTGACCTGAGAAATGTCATCCTCAGTGAGTTGGTTGAGGGGCTTGTCTAAAGGTGACCGGGGTACCGTTTCTCCCAGTGACATGACGTCCAATTTCCGGTTTAAGTAATCTGCTGCCTTTGGAAATTTCTCAGTTTCTTCTCCAAGTCGCAGCGAGATCGATCGACGGGAGAAAGGGGTAAGTATGGGATTTTTATTACACCCCACAGATTTCTATGATTACTAATTTCGTAAATAAGAAAGTGCTTCAGCGGTGTAGATTGAGTGAGTAACTGAGTAAGAGAGACAGTGTGCGTGAATTTCAGAGAAGGTTAGGTCGCGGCGTCTCAGCATTTTTCCTAAACCTTTTCTAATTTATTTATTATTTTCATTTTTCTCCATTACATAATGTTATTGCCACCCGGGACGCTATGTAATCGCTCGCTTTCATCAAATTACCATATTAACCCACTACATTTTGTAAGGAAAACACTTAAAAAAAGGTTAAAGCAGGATATGTCCATTGTGGATTTGTCCGGGGCCGATAGGTAAAAGAATCATGGCCGTTGTTCCATCCAAAATTTTTAATTACGAAGTTAAAACTGTAGAGCATTATTGGTAGTATTCTTTATTTATTTATTAAATTAATTAAAAATATTAACAACGTAGAAGAGAAGGTTGATAGAATTGATAAGAGACGGCAGGGGGCATAGCCAGATTGAATTGAAAAGAGATAAAATAAAGTGGAACTGCGGGAAGGGGGACAGCAAATGAAGCGACGGGGAAGTTGAATCACGTGATGGGGCAGCCAAATCGTGGTACGGATGATAAAGTGGAGGGATCCAAGAGCTATGATATAGCGGGGGGATGTTCAGCCCTCTGTCGCCACTTGTCAAACAACCCACGTGCCTTTCACTACCCGGAACCAAACAAGAGGACCACGCTGCATGTTAAACATCCTTAAGCTGCGGCAGGTGGCACTAGCTGCTACGGACCTAGAGTCACTGGCCCACTTTCCTCTAAATGAGACTGCCACGTTTCGCTTTTTCTGTGGGTTTCGTCTGCTTTCTCTCCCCATTACTTCGAGACCCGCTTTTGCCCACCGTTTCCTAGACAACCTTGCCTTATAGTGAGTATAATTAGGTTTCAGCTTATATTTTTTTGCCGATGAAAAGATAGGTTTCAACTGATTTGATCGTTTGAAATTGACTAAATTTAATTAAATTGGTTTGCTTAGATGGGTTTTGATAATTATTAATTAAATTAATTGATTTAATTGATTAATTTAATTAATTTTAAAAAATTAATAAATGAATTGATTGAATTAATATTTTTTATAATAAAATTTTAAAATGTTATATAATGCAAAGAAATATAATTTTTTATTTTTATTTTAAAAAATATCAAATATTAGTGGTAAAATTATAATATGAGTTTTATTAAATAAAATTTTATTGTAAAATTATTTTTTTTAAATTGGTGACAAAAAAATGAAGAAATTTTTTTCAATTAAATCTATTATTTTATGTTGTTGAATTATTAAAATAAATAGATTAATTTAATTATTTTTTAAAAGTGATAAATTAAATTAAATTTTAATTTTTCATATTCAAACATACAGATTGCTTACTCTTACCTATTAATGCCTTTTTACTTATTTTATTAATTTTTTTATTTAGTTATTTATATAGATATTATCTTTATGAAGTTATTTATTTACGATTATTTATTTATTTAATAGATATAAAATTAGGTTCAAAATATTTAAATTAAAATGACATTAAACACAAAGTATCATTAAATATATTAAACTAAAATTTTTGATATATTTGATACTTGTAAAGTTAATAAATAATTAAATTTATTAAAATAATAATAATTTATCAAATAAAACTTTTAATTATAAATTACTAAAAATTATTAAAATTACTAAAAATGATAATAAAATATCAAATAACACTTTTGTTAAATTTTGATAATAATATTTACACGTATTGAAACTTAACAAAGTATATTTGTTCACTTAATTATTTAAGATTTATTTATGCAATTAATGATGCATGTATTTTTCATTTATCTAATTATTTTATTCAATAATTAAATTGATTAATATTCCATTATTTATTTATTCAATTATTTGAAAATTATCTATTGGGTTGTTTATGTATTTATTTATATAAGTATATATTTTTATTCTTATGTTTGTATTTTATGCAATTAATTATGCATATAAATAATATATTTATTTATGTATTAATTTAAAATTTTTTATTACTTTCATATTTGTTTGTTTATTATATTAAGCTTTTATCATTTTAAATAAAAACAAATAATTGCACAATTTTAAAAAATAAAAAAAGGAAAACTCCATTAGACCCTCGCGGGTCTAGTTGAAAAAGAGTACAGCAAGAGTTAATGCAAACTCTTGCTATGCCAAACCGTGCAGCATGATGAACAATAACAATTACTTTAATTTGGTCTAATCGTACTATTAACTATTAATTAAATCTTAGATTTTTTAAACTTTATATTTAAGTTGAATTTCTTTACTTTATATATACATAGATGATCCATCATCGAACAGCTTTCTGCTTGTCTTGGGATGTTAGGTGCTTGACACTTGAAACTTTGAGCTACCGATTCAAGCGCTGGTAAAGAAATGAAAAACAAAAAATTGATCCATCATACTGAACTACGGATCACTTATAAAACACACAGTTTGTTATGTCATAAAATGATTATAAATCTCTAATTTATGTAAATCAAATTAACTCATTTATTAAAAAAAAAAAAAACTGCTTATAACAATATTCCAACAACATCATGCATCATGTATCTGGTCACTAGGAACATATTCAACTGATAATAGAAAAGAGCAAAAGAGCAAGAAAAGAAGCAAATATATAAATGAAAAGAAAAGAAAGAGGCTAGAGATGAATAGCTTTGTAGCTACGCTGGGGCACCTTCTTGAAGAGAGCCCAAGCAAGATCAAGGTAAAGCGGAAACTGCGCCATGGCAAAAAGCGTGATGGGCAGGCAAGTCACCGCATACACTGGAAACGCAGCGTATTTCAACTTGTCTTTCAAAATAAAGAAATGGCCCGAGCAAAAAGACACCAACACCGAAGCTATTGACACAAACAGCGTCGTTAACCCAAGCAAAAGCTTTCTTGGCAAATCCTTGCCGAAATCTTTCTCTTGGTACCGGGACGTTAGTATCGATAAGAACATCACTAGGGCAGTGACGGAGAAGCAGAGAGCAATTAGAGATGAGAATGCGAAGACGTCGAACGCTGGATGGTTTTCGAAAGTGGGTTTACCACTTTCTGACTCGACCCCGCCTGGAACTGCTGTTGATGTGGCGAAGGCCACGGTTGCGATCAATGCAGCCACGACGGAGCATGACTCGGAAGTGTTGGTTAGCCATTCACCACCCTTTTCGACGAGGTCTTTGTGTCTCTCGGTGAATATGTCCTTTGGGGTCTTGGTGTCCTTGTTGTAACGAGCGAAGAAGTGGACCGGCATGGAGGTCTTCACAAACTGCATTCATTTAACAAAGAATGCTCATGGTGTCATTGGTAATACAATAAATTAGATATAATTTTTATTACCAAATGCTAAGTTTATGTGATCATATTTATACCTTATACCACTTGATTTCCCATTGCATTTGTAAAGCAGCCCCAGGGATGAGCCAAGGCTTATGATCCCCTAGCATTGCGGCTAGGTGCAATGCACTATTTCCATTCTGATCCACCGCTCGGAAGGCGCTATCTTTCATGATATTTTTCTTTAGCAAGAACTTGTAAACGTGCGGTTGCCTGTTCTCCACCGCCAACAAGACTATGTTCTTCTTGTCTGAGTTCATGTCATGGATTGCCACCGGAAAAAGATATAGGATTTGCTCCACCATTTCAGTGATTCCGCTCTTTGCTGCAATTAATATGGGTGTCTCTCTTTTTGTCAAGTCTTTGGTCTTCTTTGTCAAGTCTTTGGTTTTCTCCTTCTCTCCTGCATGCTAGTCCGTGAATTTTTGCAGTCCCACCGGCAATGTAGTCTAAATTACTTTATAAGTAATATTTTAGATTTGTGTATGAATGTGTTGGAGGGAAGCTAGAGATCAATTACCTTCGAAAGTTTTTTCCTTACTTTGATCATTTTGTTTAGCTGTGTCTGACTCATCGCTAGAGGTAGGCATTTTAACATCAGCACCTTCAGTGAATTCATACGGCTTTGTCTCATCGGCATCATATAATGATAGCTGAGGCCTACAGCCATTGTCTTCATACTGGAACAGAGAAGCATGTTCTAGAAGTACATTCATGAGCTGGACAGCCCAAGTATGCTTCTCTTTCTTCTCCCTTAGCTTCCTTATTCTTCTTGATCCTTATAAACAGACAACATTATAATGATATATCAAGGAGATATTATGAGCCAGTGAAAGACCCAAATCCGATCTAGCTGATGATCCAGAGACTTACCCAGTCCTAGTATAACTAACATTGCCTTCGATAACAGCTTGACAAAATCAATCAAGGTGCCATAATTGGGAGGAAAGAATTGATATCCATCTCTATGGGGTATTTTGTCTCCTGTACAAATTAAAAACGAGATTACTTCCATGAGATGCCTGCAGGTGTAGGGATAAACTTTTGAAATTAAAAGTAAAAGATTATGCCCGTCTTTTTTTTTTTGCATCAGATTCATTGTGTATTTGCTCTCTTCCAGTAATGACTAAGAGAACCGAATGAATGCTCTTCCAAAGATCCACGAGGAAAAGAGCAGAATATGGGCTTGCTCACCTTTTGATCCTACCTCAGAGGTAACATTAGGCTCTTCAGGATTTTCATTTGCATCTCCTCGTTGTCTTTTGTTATGTGAACGTTTTGTCACTGGAAAATGTGATATAATTGACAAATTGTTAAAAAAACATATTTTGCAAAAGGATAAAATTAGAATTAATACTGAAATAAAATCAACCTACTCCAGTAAAGAGAAAAATGATTCGTTAACATACCTACTTGAACCAGCTGCTTTAGCAAGTGAAACAAGTGCATGCATGTTTGATAATTGTCTGGACAACTAACTTTCATCTTTTCCCTAAACTTCTTGGATTGAAAATCGCTTGAAGATTGTTGAAAAGATGATTCCACCTTAAGCTGATCCACAAATATACCTTCCAAATAAAATCCATTTTTACAACAAGGCTGACAGTTAATTACATTTTTGGTCTAATTAGTAGCAATATATCATCCGAAAAACTTGAAGAGTTAATTAAAGCTTCATTTCTTAGGTAGAAAAGTGTGTTAAAAGACAATTTTGAAGATCAAGGAAAAAAGAATACAAAAAAACATCAGAAAATAAGAGCTATTGAATGCAAATGAAACAATGAATTTATTACGCTTTTGACCATGAAAAATATGACTATTTCATATCATGAAAGTCGTCTGTAGCACTAACAATAGTAAATGAGCTGACTGCAACCACCAATATGGCTACCACTTCTGAAGGCAGTAGGCTTGCTAGCAAGGAGATGGAGGGGTGATATTCCATTCTCGTTTACATTGTTGATAAGATCTTTATAAAGATGAACGATTTGAAATGCCAAATCTGTGAAGCAAAACAATCGTTAGGAAAGAAACTAGAGGAACTGAACTGAATTAATACAATTAGCTCATTTCTAATTCTACAATAGAAACAACTATGCTAAGTCTTAAAAAAGTAACAGAAATTTCTTACCAAAATAGTCTCCAGAGATGGCACAGTGAAGAACATTTTCACCATCCTTCCTTCTGCAATAAGAATAGCCTTCTTCTTTTCGGCAGTAAGAGTTAAGGCAAAGGAAAGCATTCTTTTTGCCATGGTGAGCGGCCACGAATAGAGGGGTTTCTCCATCATTGTTATGAATTTTCAATAACGATGAGTCTGCTTGCGCAATGCATTTGCACATCTTCACATTCCCTAGCGAAGCTGCAATGTGCAGAGGAGTATTCCCCTGGTCGTTTCTGATTTCCAGAGACTTCTTGTATTCAGTCTGCATGGAAATCAAATCTACCAGCTCTTCTACAATGTCTTCTTGGATATTGGAGACGGCAATGTGCAATGCCGTGTCCCCTGATCTGATGATCTCGGCCACACGAACCTCTGGATGGGTCTCGTATAACTTTAGAACAACATTCCACTCACCTTTCATGGCACTCCTGAACAATTTTTTTCTATGCTAATTGTAGAATCCATTTATTTTCTTCCACTTCCTCTTCCGAGTGGAAGCCGAAGTACTGACAAACGTACATTAAAATCATTTCCATAACCTATAAACTGATGCTCTTATCAGGAAAGTATACTGCTACCTATTAAAATAATTAGGAAAAACGGGATAAATGCAAGAGCGAAAGAAAGGAATGTTGGCGGTCATTCCAATTGCAAGAAAGGAATAATTCGGAGACTATTTGCTTACTGAATAATGGGTTTATGTTTAAACATTAGGAAAATCCCCTTATTCCCTAGAAATAAGCACATTACTGATAATGAAGATGTCATTAGCCAAAATTAAGTTGCCTTTGTCTAATTTTCTATGTTACAACTTACAAGCAAGGTATTACGTACGGTAAAGAAAGCAATAATTGTAAAGCAAAATCAACTTCTCTTTGTTAGAAATATATAGAATCCAGCCCTGGCCCTGAGTAATGCTACTTTATCAGACATTTTAACTTCTTTTCCTGTAACAGATTGCTTCTGCGCAGAAAAAGCACTCAAATTTAATTTTGCCATAAACATGTAGGAAGCCGAGACGGAGGTTTGAAGGGGCAGGCAGCAACGACCATGGGCAGTGGGCCTCCCTGATTTTCCCCTTTATATTTCTTTTTACGTATGCAAGGTTACTTGGCCTGCCATGGTTAATTTTCTTCGATTCTTGATATTTTCCCAAGTTCTTTACTTATTGAACAATCTTAAGTGCTTAAAGATCATTTTTTCTTTTTTTGGTTCAAAGAAAAATAATGCCTTATTGCATGAAAAGAAGGAGAGGTGACTTGATTTGAACCAAAGTACTAATATCTTTTTTAAAATTTCTGTGTCATTAGGTCAAAAAGCAAAAAACAATGCTTATCGATCTTTTTTAATCACAAATGAGGTTTCGTCTCGACAGTGGAGAAGTTCAAACTTTTTAAGTCCCAAATTCAAGTTTCCCTGCATTTAAGTTTAATTTAATTTTATGTTGGTTTATTTAATTAGTTTGTTTTTTTTATTGTTTTCCTCTATTGATATAATTTATGATATGTATGAAGTGTGTAATGGACATTTTTATTTGTGATTGCAACCACTAACCAATAATAAAAAAAAAGATCTTTTTAGTCACAGCCTTCAATATTGAACTTAACTTGATCAAGCTTCACAGGAGAAACATAAGGTTCATTCGCGATGGTCATGAAATCCACTTTCTCTCCTTCAAAATAATTATTCAGAAATGCAACAATGATACCACCAACGCATCTCCTCATGGGATCTCTAGGACCTTTACCATTTACGCACATACAATCAGAAAATCTCCCAACAAGTCCCGATGGATCATCATCTAACACATCCATGTGGCCATAGTTTGTGGCAACAAAATGAGCGCATGGAGGCTTGCACTCGTTGAAAAACTCCTCGTGGTTCACTCCTTTAGGCGCACAAGGTGGCATCGGCATGCAGCCCTTGGACTCAGGACCTAGGCCGGTACCAATGACGGTGACGGGGATTGATATATTGAAAGAACAAGGGATATAGGTCAGGATTTTGGGATTAATTTGGCAAAATGAATTGCCGGCAACAGGGTCAATACCGACTAGAACAGAGAAGTTTTGGTTAGTATTGGCAAGTCCAAGTGCTAGTGTAAATGCTGTTTTCCCACCTCTGCTGTGGCCTACAAGAGCAAGCTTCACTAGGTTTGCTTCAACATTTCCAGGGAGTACGGATGGCAGGCCCGATGGTAACCAATCTGCCACTTTTGCTGCAGATTCAACCTCGTCCGGTCCACTAGGAGGCATAATATTGAATAACGGAAAAATCAAATCAGTTAGTATTAACTAGAGTACGACAAGAGATTTGAAAAAGTAAATAACAAGAGATCAAAGACAAAAACTGTATAGAAGGAATATTTAATTAATTTATCAAGTACCTGAGGAGCTACAATTATGAATCCATGAGAAGATATGTGCCGAAGGAGGTCAGTGTAGAAGTAGTTATAGAGGTAGAAGCCATGGAAGAACAAGATGACGGGGTAGATGCCGTGCTCGGATGGTGTGAAAATCTGCAGTGGCTTAGGAGGCGAGTAAGGGCTTGATGAATCCACTGAGATGCTTGTTGGATGATATTTTCCCCGGATAAAAACTGGCAGTACTGTTTGATAAAACAGGCTTAGTTCCCAACAGCTGTGCCATACTCTTTATCGCTGTGTGGGATACGAAAATTGATGGAGGTAGCTCCATGTTTATTATGTGAATGGGCAAAGATTTTTATTCGGTAAAATGACTTTTACTCTCCGTTTGCGACAATGGTGGCCATTCTTAGAGGTGAATGCGCATCCGCATAAAAACGTGTGATGAGTCCATGAAAGTAACGTCGACGGATCAAAATTGTCACTACCTTTTCCTCTTTACGTATACAAGTTGCCATATGTTTTCTTTCTTTCTGTCTTTTTGTTATTACTGTTAATTTAGAGAGAATGGGAGATTTGGTGTATATATATTTTTTATCTTTCGAAATATTTTTAAGCATCTCTTGGCTAATTTCAATCTTCCTCTCCTTGTCCTTTTTGATATCCATCTCCCAATAATTTTTGCTCCTTTTATAAAAGAAACAAGATTATAACCCCTTTAGATAATGAAATAATGAAAAGTAAGAGAAAATTTATTTAAAAAGATAATCTCACCATCGAAAGGAAACTGATCATCAGCTTCTTGACCACGCAGAATTTTGTTATTCTTGCATGGAAGATTGCATTGCAAAAGACTGCTGTAACATTTCACAGGAGCAAATCCAGATGAAGACTAGGCATATAAATCAACCCACAATCGCAGGGAAAGAAAACGCAAGTCCAATAGGATATCGCCTGTGGTTTAAACAAACGGCCCAAAAAAAAGAACTAGTAAGATAATGACACATCTAAAATTGCAAATGGGCCTTTTAAACCCATTGCTTTTCCACCGTATAGATGTGTTGAATAGAAAGATCGGGCATTTTACAAATTTTGTTATTTTTCCTTTCATTTTTTTTTTTTGAATGTTTTAAAATTTATTTTTTTAAACATTTAATTTTCCTTACTTTTTATATTTTTTTACGATTTTTCTATTTTAAATATTAAAAATTATGAAACAGTAAATTTATTTAAAATTTTAATATTATATCTAGTAAAAATCAATTAAAAACTAACTATTTAAATTTTAACTCAACTCTTATACTTACTACCTTTTCAATACCTCTCATTAATAAGGAAGGAATATTAAGCTCTCTGATATGAGAAATGCTGGTGCCGTCTTCTTGGAAATGATCAGATTATTTTTATCTGGCTGAGGACTCATTTATTAAGATAAAATATCTATTTTTTTATTCGAATAAAGTTTAAGGGTAAAAAAAATTATTTTATTTTCAAAATTAAAATAAACTGTTAATTTATATGTGAGATTTATAAATTTTTTAAAATTTTTTAAATTTATAAATAATTTATTTATAAAAAATTATAAAAATTTAAATTTAAATATTTTATATTAAAACTCTAAACCTTAATTATTCACATTTATCTTTATTGGTAATATGTATTTTATCTTTCGAATCATAAAATATTCCTAACAAAATATGTCAAACAATGTCAATAGCAAAATTTTCGTAGAAGCATTTAATCAATGCTTAGCGAATAAGGAAAAAAAGATATTAATTGGTGGACAACTCCGAGTGGAAATGCAATCTTCACGCGTCAGATTTCAGTTACATATATATACGATGCTAAATTAAGTACGGGTGGGGCCCAAATTTTAAATGCTTTTGCCAACAGTACCAATACTATTAAATTTTTAATATTTTAATTTAAGTTATTAAAATTTAATTTTTAACCATCTCAATTATAAATTATAATTATTTTATTTTTATCATTTTATTAAACCAACAAAACTATTAACGATATATTTTGATCGATTCAACGTCACGTGAATACTTAAAAAATAAAATCATGTGAATATTTAAATTAAGAGTATCATCTAAATGTTATAATATTTACTAAAACTTATTAATTATTTTTAAGAGTATGTCAATCTTTTTATTTTGGTTGGTCATAAACCATTACCTAATGTTTTTAATACCACGACCTTGCCTTTTAAAAATTTTAATTTAATCTTCAAATGGTGGATAATAACTAAATTAAGTAAAATATATAACTTAAAAAAAAACTTTGCTAGAAAACTTTTTATAGGAAAAGAACAATTGCTTGCAAGGAACCATACTCAAAAAGTATAGGCTTTTCCACTTTGGTTGATCACTTTTCTTTTTCTTTTTTTTGCATACTTACATCCTTCTTTGGCAATAATAATAAAAAAAAAAAACAAAACAAAACAAAAAGGCCCTCTCGGTAGTCCAGAATATTTCCGAGCCATCCACGTTTTCTCAATTTTAGATATTCTTCCACGTGTCAACATCACGTTCAACCTTCACCGTTGTTGGAGGCAGTTCCGAGAACCATCAAGAACTTTCGCATCACCCAAAACCGCAGCTTTTATAATTTCCCCTAAATTTCCCCCATTTCTTAACTGAAAATCAAGCCCCTCTCCCCAAGAAAATTCAAATCCTAAAATCCAACTCCATTCCTTCCACTCTCAGTTCTTGAATTTTGTAGGATGATGTGGAATCAGCCGTACCGCAAAAATGACCCGGAGGCCGGAGCCAGGCCTTTGTATCCAATGATGTTAGAGCCGCCGGAGATGAGGTGGGCTTTTATTCGGAAAATTTACTCAATCGTTGCCCTTCAATTGTTGGCTACAATCGCGGTGGCCGCCATGGTGGTTGCTGTCCGACCGATTTCTCATTTCTTCGTTAGCACTGGGGCAGGCTTGGCTCTTTACATAGTCCTAATCATCACGCCTTTCATTAGTGCGTTTCTTCTTTTTCTTATTTTTTTGGTGTGTGCAATTTGCGACTTAAATGTTGACTAAAAAGAAAATCGGTTTGCTATTTGCAGCTCTTTGTCCATTGTATTACTATCACCAGAGGCATCCAGTGAACTATCTTCTTCTTGGAGTCTTTACCGTTTCTCTGGCGTTTGCAGTTGGATTAACGTGCGCTTTTACCAGCGGTAAGATATTGATTTTGATTTTTTTTTTAAATTATAATTTGGGCAAGGTACTTTTATTGATTATTTTTGCAGTTATTTGATAGAACCCTAGAACTTGAACCATGCAAAGTGAAAATAAATATATATTCACAGAATTTTCTAGCTTCATTTATATTGTACCTAGATGCTACTGATTGTGGCATTCTATTAGCCAATTTTACGTGCATTTTGTGTGTGAACAGGGAAAGTTATTTTGGAGTCCGTGATACTGACGGCTGTGGTGGTTGTGGCTCTCACCCTGTACACCTTCTGGGCTGCAAGGAGAGGCCATGATTTCAACTTCCTTGGCCCTTTCTTGTTTGGTGCTGTCCTTGTTCTTATGGTTTTTGCTCTGATCCAGGTATTTCGATCTCGCCATGTTTATTTAGCTGTTTTTTTTTTTTTCCTCATATATCTCCATATTATTGATTTCTCATTGCTGGAATATGTTTGTCTTATTGGGTGCAGATTCTCTTCCCGTTGGGTAGATTATCAGTGATGATTTATGGGTGCTTGGCCTCCATCATATTCTGCGGCTATATCATATATGACACAGACAACTTGATCAAGCGCTACTCTTATGATGAATACATTTGGGCTGCTGTATCTCTGTATTTGGACATAATTAATCTCTTCCTCTCACTGCTTACTGTTTTTAGAGCTGTAGATGGTTAAAGGGGATCACATTGCCTATAAGAAATTCTTATTAATACCTAAACCTTGTTGTTATCATCTTTTTCCTTTTATTTTTCTTTTCTTGTAAAAAAGGCCAAAATCTGTGTTGTCACTCTGAAATCATATCATGGTTGATTGAATGGAAGATTTTGTTCTGCTTGCGTATGTCCCTGTGCATTATCTCACCTCCTGGAAAATCTTTCCTTCTATTCAGTGGTGATGACTACAAGGGATCTAGAACATCTAAATTTAATGTTCATGCTTTCGATCAGTTTCTGTTTTGACTGTAAGAGAATGGGGGTTACAGTTGTTTTCCTTGAATATCTATCATTCACATTTGGAACGAGTGACGATGGAGAGGAAAGTGCAGCAGGTACGGTCGCTTTCAGACTTTATTTTCCTTGTGTAAATGTAGGTTGATCTGCAATATCTAATTAAATAAAAATGTGGTTAGTTTATTTTTATTCATATTAATTAGGGTTTTTCCAGTCTAGGATTTTCTGCCTTAAAACCTTATACGCTACTGCTACTCTTGGCTTAGCCGGTGGTTTGGCATTGCTCACTCGTCTTTTCGTTCCTCTTCATCACAATCTATTATCTATCCTATGAAATAAACGTGCAAGGCAAACGAAGGAAATAGATAGTGATTGAAATGATTCAATTGATATTGACTGTATTTATAGCTTTCAAGCCTCTATTATTCAATGATAATATAACCATGTCATCTGCATTTCTTTTTTTGGGTTGGATGGTTTTTTAATGTAGGAGCTATTTTCTTTCTCTATCAAGCTCTTTATTGTTCCCATGATTTCTTTCATTGGGACCGTGCGTGTGAGTTGTGGACAATTTTGAGTTTTCGGTAACCTTGCTGTTTCTTATTTGAAATTTACTAATTCTTTTGTATAGAAACGATTTAAAATGGGTAACAACGAGCTGAAGCAAAATATACCTATAATAAAGCATGCAAATAGCCCAATCTTAATTCTTAAACATGTTCGACTGTTATGATAGATCAATAACTACTAGTTATATACCCTCTCCCCCATACAAAAATTAGTCAGTCACAGAATTTTGATTGCACCAGCTAAAAATGTTCAGTATGCATGAGGGAATTAGATATTTGCCTCGCTCTGAATGGACCGTCCAATTGCTTGCATTGAGCCCCTAGAAGCAATCGAGTTAAAGTCTGGCAGCGGATGAGCTAATTATTGCCGCCAAGGGACCAGGTAGTTGAGTTTTGTTTCTTGTGCTTTCTTTCAGCGACAATTGACAGAAGCCTTGAGACACCTCGAGTCCACATATCGTATTCTCTCTGACTCCTGCACTCAAACTCGACGATCCCTCTTGTTTCAGTCTTCAATCCAAAGTAAAGACGCTGCTCTCCACTATCGAATAGATGTCTCCCTGGCCATGCTGGCATGTCCTTGCACACCTCCAAAACCACATCTGAAACCCCAAAAATTATATATTTCTAAGGCAATCCACAATTTCTTACATCAACATTGACAACAGTGTCATGGTACTGCCGTAACTTACTCTTTTTCTTTTTGGTGAATGTCCCAGCGACATGCTTGCTCTTCATCTTCAAAATCACCTTCAAAAGTTAAAAACATAGATGTTTATGATGTTAGTGTAATTGTGTGGGATAAAATTCAGGTCATATATAATGGTAACATTCCTGATGTGTTGGACTAAAGCAATAGTTACCTGGCCTGTCTTTTTCATATAAACAGATACAACTTTCCAGTGAAGGTCACCTGCATATAGACAAATTTTAAACTATATGATTTGTATTCATACTCTAGAAAATGTGTAATTATGCAAAAAAATGAACAGACTTAATACCTTTCCGAGTTCTTTTGAGAAGTTCACTACCCTTAGCAAGGAGCTCTTGACTACAGGCAGCAAGGAAATCCTCTCCAGGGGCAAGTTCTCCACTATAGTTGCGGTTTGAATGGCCATTATTGCCATTAGCACAAAATCCAGCACTGATTGTTTTCTCAGCTGGAAGGACTGGTGCAATGTTCCATACTTCCTTTAGTGCTCTTGCCTTTAGGGTTGCTGCCCCACGCAGAGCTGCAAAGAAGAAACTCCATTATCATCTTTCGTTTTTTTCATCTTGGATACAAATGAAAGTTCGATGGAGATAATTCCTTACAATAAATTATAAGTATATGCTTATACAAGCACGATTATCTCCTAAGAATATACTACAGATAGAATGAAAATCGAAAATTGAAGGCGTAGAAGTATATGCAGAAACGATATGATAAGATCCTGGACTGGTGCCAGCTAGAAATCTTTACCTGTAGCTGCAGCAGCTGTAAGAGTCAGGATATCATCATGTGAACGAACATTAACAGCAGAGCTCACAACTGAAGCAAGATGGTCACGTTCAGCTCCCATAGCTTCTGCAGCCTCCACGCATTGCGCAGCTACTAATGTTGCTGCTGACGCCACAGCCATGTTGGTCTTCGTCGACTGTTCATTTTTTCCCAATGTGGAAGAAGAAGCCACAGTGGCAGCTGCAATGGCTGCTATGGCCGAGGCAACTGCAGCAACTGAGATAGCAGCGTGAAGCTGTGCATTGTGAGCTCTAGTTTCTTCTTTCTTTTTCTCTTTTCTATCTTTTAACCATCTTCCCACTGTCTTAGCCCCGCTGGGTGTATTAACTCCATTACCAGCACTTGCGCGGCTACCATTGAATAAAGGTTGTATGGAGTTGTGGGTACGGAAATACTGCACGAATTGTGATTACGAAGCCAATTTTTTAGTACGCCTTTTGAATATGGATTTGCAGTTCTACAAGTATGTAAATGCAACAACGAAGGAAACTTAATTATAATCAACAATGGGTCAGGGGTATGGGTGTAATCGAATTGAGTCGATATAGCAAAAAATTTGAGTTCGAATTCGACTCCCAACTCGCAATTCAGTTCGAACTCGATCGAATTTTATTTTTTTAGTTCGAGCTCGATTCATGATTGAAATCGAGCTATTCGAACTCGTTCAATTAATATATAAAAGTAAATTCGATTCGTATATTCGATAAGAGTTCGATTATTTATACTCGAATTCAAATTCGAATTCGAGATATTTTATTAATTAAAATAATAAATATATATTTAAATATAAAAATTCTATTAGACTCGTAAGTTACTCGAATCGAGTATAAAAAATATTCGAATTCAACTCGATCGATGAGTCGAGTTACTCGAGTTCGACTCGATAATAATTGAACCAAATTTAAATTTTTTTTAATCGAATCTGAATAACTTGTGAATACTAATATATCATTTATATCCTTAATAAGAGTGAGGCAATTACTTAATTTATGCTTATTAATTAGTGAATAAAAAGTCTAAACTTTTATATGTACCATTCACCAAGCTGCAAAACAGATAGTAGGAAATCAAAAACAGACAGATAGTAGGAAATCAAAAACAGGGATATGTTATCATAGTAGAATTAATTTATAAGGGTATGCTGAAAGTAGTCTTGACTTAATGAACAGTTGATTAAGACCAGGTGTCATTGATTGTTGTCTTGAGAAAGTTATGAGCAAAATGAAAAGTTTCTGGTTTTTATACGTCAGCCTTATAGATGGTGGAGCAGAATCAACGAACTGGAAAATGTGCTCCTCCTGCAGATGTGACCTGAAAGCTAAAGTAGTTGGTGTTTACTGTGTTACTTTCAGGTGAAGGGAAGCGTGAGAGATTGTTTACTTCAGCCCTAAATGTTTTGAGTTTTGAAGGAAGATTGAATGACCAAAAACAGAAAAGTAAACAGATATAAATGACATGAGTCACTATGACATTTCCAACTGAAAGAAAGCATCATTTCCCACTTCTGTACTCAACCCTTTCGTTCACCGTACCCTGGTGTCTTAAAAATTTAAGCAAATTTCAAAATATTATTTAATCCACAACTTGTTCAAATCAGCTTATCACTCCAATATACGTACTTCATCATTCAAAAGAGAAGTTTTTCCGTAAAAGAAAAAAATTTACAATCTCAACCCAAAGTTCAAATTTGGGCCATAAAAACCAGTTCGAAGCTAATGCTTAGCCCAACTGCTGGAAATCACATTGTTTAATTTGATAAAATAGGCTGGCAGGTACTTTTTAAGGCCAGAAAACGGGCAGCTTTAGCAGATAAGACATATCTTGGAAGATCGTTAGGGAAATAAAAAGGTTTTATTGGAACAAGACAAAAGTTCCCGCTCTGTATTCTCTATTCCATTTTATACTAAATCCAAGATCACTAGCATTAAAAAGGGTCAAGTGATGGTGTGGGTAGCAGAGCAGAGACAGAGAAAGCTGAGATATTGGTCTCCTGCATGTCTTCAATGTATTGTTCAACATTTCCTTGCTCTTTCTCTTTCTTTTCTTTTCTTCCACCGAAAAGGTCACTAATATATAAAATAGTACCTTATAGTACCAATTATATTATATATAAATATATACAACAGAAAAGGAGAGGGAACGTGTGTACAAGACCGACCTTAACGACGTCGTCGAATTCCTCAGATGGAGAAACTGGAGGGCTATCATTAATCAAAGGTCCGCTGCTGTGTGAGAGCCTCCCTGATGTTAACGGTGACACCTCCTACAAATATAAACCAGTAAAAACAATCACCAATGTACGCAGAAGAAAAGACCCTCCGTTTCTAACACTTATTTGAACATAGAAAGAAACTAATGTTAAGCACTTTCTTTTTGTTTTTCCCTTACGTGAAGTACTTACCGATTGTGACATGATGCGTTCAAGAACGAGCTGTGAAGTAGCAGAAGTGAAAGAGAACTGACTGGCAACAGCAGCAGCCTTGTCAAGCTCCTCAGTCTCGCCATTTATATCTTCAGGTATAGAAGTGGTAGTGCAAGAAGAGCTGCTGGCAGACTTGGCAGCCGTACTACTACTGACTGAATGATGATGATGAGGAGGAGGAGGAGGAGGAGCAAGGGCTTTGGACACTTCGAGAGCTGAAACACTCCATGACCTCGAGAGGAACTCCATTGGACCTCTAGGGCTCTCTGGCAGCTGCGTTCTAGAGAGGGAAAGTTGGGAAATGTGCTCCGGACGACGACGCGTCCTTGGACTTGCCTCTTCCATGAAGTGAAGTTGAAAGTGCCGGAATTGAGCTGTGGTTTTGGTTTTCAAGCTTTAAAGAAGAGAAAAACAATGGAATGATTTATGGGGGTTTTATTTATATAGATAGGAAGGTTTTTGGCTTGCTTTTGGGTATTGGGTGCCACTTACCCTTGGTAAGTGGACCACCTTTTCTTATTACATAAAGTTTTTGTCAAATTCAGTCATACTATAAAATTCACTAATCAACCAATACTAGAATGCTTCAAGTAAATTAATGGATAAAAAAATAAAATTGAAAACTACATATAATAATAAGACAAAAATGTGATTACCCAAATCAATCATTGTCTACCAACTGGCATTCCCCCCACTCATGTTACCATACAATTTGAATTATGGCAAAGTGGTTCAGCTACGGTCGAGACTAAAGAAGTAGAGGTGGAGACGAATGCTGATATATCAATCTACTGACACGTGTCATTGAGTGATTTCATCTATATGTATTATAGAAGTTTTTTGAATGTTTTAACCAGACGGCTGCCTAGTTCCAAAAAGAAGGACCTAAAGATACTGCCTAGTTCAAAAATAATGGAGGATGCATGTGACTAGAAAGCAGTCATCCATCGGTTCCTGGTGGCAAAAGCGAAGCGAAGGGTAAAAATGATGAAAGTTGCTATGACGGGACAATAATCTTTGGATACGTGGGTTATTGTCAAAGCCGTTATTGGGTTTTTCAGGAAAGAGGAGGATCCAGCTTGTAAGAAGCTTATGAGTAACAAAAATCTACCCATTGCGGAAGAGGCTTATAAGTAACAAAAAATTATGTATTCCCTGGCCACATTGTGATGTAGGAGTAGGAGGGGTTTCAAACCAGCCTGGTGATTAATTGTAATCCATCATCTACAATCTAATCAAAACGAAAATACTAGCAAGATTGTGTAACGTATGCAAAGCAGTTGAGGGCTGACAATGTTGCGTGAAATGGCAGGGGAGGGCCAGTAACGTTGGAGGTGACCGAAGTGATCGTGTTCCATGGCTGTCTAAGGTCTTGTTAATGTCCAAGGCCGACAGGGCTTTGAGATGTCCCGATGAAACGACAAAATTCAAGCCTTGAACCACTTCTTTTTGTTTTTTTTACTACAGTTTTGGGTACAATACAAAGCTGCCTACTCAAGACTCAGGAGAAAGGCCAGTGCTAAAATGCGCGTGCCTGGATACGTCATCATCCCTCTTTTGATCTCATCTACTCTTCTTCGTTTCCTTGCAAAGGCATCTATTTCCCCTTTTTCTTTTGTTTTTGTTTTCTGAGCAAAGAGAGGAACAGCTTTCTCTTTTTGTAGTCTTTTGTTTCTTGCTACGTGACCACTGACCAACGAGACCACACCCTTTATTCCCTTTGCTTCGTTTTCTCAATGATCAATGCCTGCTTTCCTTTTCCCTTTGCATCAAACATTTTGAACGAGACCCTTTTATATGTTATAATTTTATTATTTCCTTTCCAATTTACATTTCATTCAAGCATTTATTTTTTATTTCAAAAAGGGTGTCCATGAACGATGAATGTGCTATTAGTAAGAAATAACTGGTTTAGAAAAGTTGGATTTCAAAAAAAAAAATAAAATTCAAGATGCTTTTGTCTCGCGAGTTACTGTATAACAAAAAAGGGTCAATCAATAATTCTCCTTGAAATGAAACTTGTTTCTCTTAAACTTTATGGATTCAAGTTCTTTGTCAAGTACACTACTTTAATGATGGTAAACCCACAGAGTTTAGATCAACTAAACTTTGCCCTCACCAACTTTAATTCTCGATCTTCTTGCTAAAGTGAATACATGAGGTAAAGCAACATCAAGCTTTAACATTTGAAATCAAAAAGAGATATCAAGTCATTTACTTTACTCTTCACTTTCAGGCATTAGCTTAGGAGGATACAAGCCAAAGCCAGGGACCACAAGAATTTAACTTACAGGATCATACAATTAAACTGCAGCACCCAGCAAACAACAGGTTTAACACAAGTCCAACTCTATAGCTAGCGAAAGCCAATAAGCAGAAGCACACAGGCTCCCTGTTTATTCCTGCACCTGGATTTGGCGTTAAGATTAACTTCCACCTAGGTTCAGAATGCCCAATCTCTTCCACTCATATCTGTTCATTGAATTAATAAGTAAATAGAAACAACTCATTTAACCACGAACAACCAGTTTTTCACTGTCCAAAAGCAGAGGAGAGAGAGAGAGAGAGAGATATCACATTCTATTTGAGGTTAGTCTATCTGCATGAGGTAGTAATACTTACCCATTAGATAATAGCAACCATTACATATTTTGTATTTCATTCATTCACTGTGCTAAATCCACCGTCGCTTCCAAACTGTCCCAACACCTACTGTCCGGGTTTTCGCTGTCCTTCAGCCAGATTCAGCAAATTTTGCTAATTCCTGCCCGATAGTATGTTGCTACCTGATATTTTTGAGGCTGAACAAGTGAAACAAAGCTGGCACTTAGTACAAATGATATGCAAATGAGCAAGTACAGCACCACCATAAAGTCACATGGCGCATAGAATTTAGGTGCATTATCCAATTGAATGAAATCTAACCAATTCTCATACATACTGAAAATACTGAATCATCATGCTTGAAGTACCAATGACAATGTTGTTTTATCATCAAATTCAAATTTAGCTTCTAAAAATATAAAAGACCCACAATGCCTTTAGCTACATAATAAAAGGTAATCCATTTCCATTTCACAACTCATTCCTCATTCCCAAGGTTCAAACCTTAAAAGTTTCAAATTCCAACTGCTAAAGGTCTCCCCGGAAGGTGAAGGACCTCCACTAACAATCTATAATTTAACAAAAATGAGCATAAGATTGAAAGGAAATTACAATAATTGAAGGAAAGATAACAATTTAAACAGATCGGAAATGGTTATTTTTAAATGCTAGTGGATGCTAAGATTCAGCACTTAAAAATGCCAAAAACCTTCCCTTAATGCTTTTAACTGTATCCTATATTTCTGACCTAGTAATTCCATTGTGGCCTTAATCTAACAGATAGCTAACAATTGTACATGAACTGAATGGTGTGAGCATAAAACCAATATTAATTGACACTATTCCAGAGTGCAAAACCAAAACATTAATTCACTACAGCAAATCAAGAACTGTGTTTCTATGATAGAAAAGAAAATACATGTGGGCTAGAAAGTCAATGCCAGAAGGAAGCATATATAGTGGGAGCGGATTACTGCATTTGGCTCATATTATTTGTGAGGGAACAACAAGAGTAAATGCATCAGAATGTGAGTAAAAGTACGAAATTTAAGCCCAACCAACTTGAACATCCTATGTTTCCACGGAGAAAAGGCATCAAATAAGCTAACCATTTATTAGATTGTAAACCACTGCCACCATAATACTGCCTGGTAATTTCATGTGAGAATTCTGCAAATGTCATCTCATCGTTCAATCATGCTGAAAGTGGTGGAAGTACTTTTTGAATTTCTTGAGTTAGTGCATTTTGGTCCTGATCAGCAAAGTTATTTTCCTTAGCTTGCTCCAAAGGCTGACAACCTGGGTCGTAATGTTCCATAGCATAATCTGAGATTGACAAAATTTTATTCCATGCTGTCTGCAAAAACACAGCAAAAGTTTCTCTGCTTAAATTTTCCAACCCTGCTGGTCTGCACACACAGTGAAGGGTTTATCGTGGCTTGCCTTTGGATAAGATATCCTCTGATTCCCCAACCTGAACAACGAAACTTTCAGAGGAGGGCTTCACCGTGAGGACTTTATTCTTGTTAGGGTGAAAATTCTGCAAGTATGAATGCCCACTTGGTGAATAAAATTCTTGATTAATAGAAGTGGAAAATTCACTGTTTGCTGTTGTTTGTAGCGAGGAAAGAAGAAACATGGGATGAGTTAGAACAGTAAAGTTACCATAGTCATAATGCCACTGTTGCCATAGGTTGGGATGAATTTCACATTACCTAACTTCATTACCATTTGTGTCCAAGTTAGTGACTTTCGATAACTTCTGCCCGCTTCTTGCATGATTATTATTAGCATTTCTTTTACTTGATCCCTTCCTTGGACCAGCTTCTCTAAGAACAAGGCTTATCTACCATTGAATGATAATGTATAGAGCGCCTTTTTGCTGCACATAATTCCAGTAAGCTTTGCTCAAGCTCATTGCCTCCATTGACCCAATCACATATTCAAGCAAGATAGAGCCTTAGCTCCATCATGCAAAAGCCTAGGGCCTTGAACATATTCTCAAGATCATCAAACCCATCATCTTCAAAACCACTGATTCTACCCATATTTTCATTTTCCAAATTCAAATGGCTACCAATCCTATGACTTGGTTTAGCTTCAACGGTTTTCAGACCTTGAGCGTATTTGAGCTGCATCGCGAAAGAGGAGACATTCCAGTCTTAAACACTCCCCAAGTTGTGCTCCTAAACATAACTTAAACAAAGAAAACAAGAACAATGAAAAAAACAATAAACAACATTAAAAGGACTGCAAGAAAAAAAAGACATATAATTGAACGGTTTATAGGAGAAAGGAAGTGTTTAATAAACTTTTGCTTTGGAATTGAGAAAAAAAAAGTTTTGTACGTTATTAAAAGCTCCCAATCATCAAGTTTAAAATGTTGCAAAGACATGGAAATAAAGAATGAGACTAGGAACAAAAAGAAAGTCACACGGTAACGAAGAGGGAAATTGAAGGGAAATTGAAGGCAACTATGATTGAAAAAAGCAAAGCAAAGAAAACGTTCGTTGAAATTACTCTGAGAATACGTTTGCGATCTTCTGTTGTAAGGAGAGCCAGCTTGCGAGCGAGAGGGAGGAGTTTCCATCGGAGAAGGGAAGCGTCGGGAACGTTTGTAATAGCGAGGAGACGTGGGCCAGTTGGGCTGAGGTTTTCCATTATCATTTTCTCTATGCGATGCGAACATGACAGTGATGATAGTAGCATGACATCCGAGTATTGAATTTCGTATAGTTCCAGAACTTCCGATCCTTCCATCTTTCTTTTATTCGCCGCAAGTGAAGAAGCCGACACTTCAACGTGGGATCCTCGTTTTAAATGGAAAACTTGAAGCCCAAAATCCCGACTATTTTCCCAATTCAGGATTTTGATTTTTTTTTTCTGGTATAAACTAATAGTAACATATTATCCAGTCAAAGGATAATCATAGCTGAACAACAAATAATTTCAAGGATATTAACATGCTTTTTAATTCTTTTTATTTTCTTTTCCGGGTGACCAAGGGACTGATTGTACAAAGCATACAATTCCAGAAAATTTTCGTTTCCTCTTTCCCACAAGTTGCATATTTCAAACACACAGCACACTTTTGGAGGGGTTAATGCAAAGATCCAAATCCACATCACAAATCACCATACTGTCTTCGAGTAAGAAGACATACCAATTCTAAAACCAGGAAAACGGAAAGGGACAGCGTCATTTATGTACAAGTGGCACCAATGACGAAGCATTAGTATTTTAGCTTAGGCTTGGGTCTCCTTGAAGCTCTTAGCCAACCAGATGGCAGTTTCCCTAGGAGACACTTTCTCAGGTCCAAATGGCTTCAACAGCACCCCAAGCTCGTCATACCTTTGTTGTTGTAAGAGACGTGCACTGAACTCGAGAAGTCCTTCTAATGCTTCTGCTCGCTGCTGGTAGGATGAGGTGTCGAAGCGCCGCTGTCGTGACTCAGAAGACGAATGAGTGGAGACAGCAGCACGATTATGTTCCGAGCCTTCGCTACCATCTTGTGCAACCCCAAGACTATGATCGCTTACATTCAATGTTGTGACAACTTTGTCCAGGATCTGGACTGTACACTTGTCCTTCGTTATAGAACGGTCAACACTGTCAATTGATGAAGAAGAGCACTTGGCGGATGTTGATGAGGTTCCACGAATGGGTAAAAGAGGATCATCAGAAGAAGCTAAAGGGAATTCTGCAATTTTGTCAATTCGTGGGGCATTAACAGAAACATCCGGGGAGTCCACGCTGCGAAGCATACCAACATTGGCTCTATAGGGGGTCACCAAGGCTGCAGTCCTTGTTGGCAATGGAAGAGATACTCTGCGTGATGAGTAGGATGATTGACTTGCAGGCGTATGTGATACTGAAACCTGCACATATAAGGAGCAGAACTCATCATCTTCCAAAATAAACCAACCATTGAAACATTAGTTCTCAGTTCATAGAAAATTTTCGTATCCAAGTCCAACACAGAAGAATGTAGCCAAGGGGGTTTGCACTTATGTTTAGTTACAGTCTTCATAGAACTTAATGATTTCTCAGTTTTCAAAATTCCGATTAGATTTTAAACACACATACACATAGAAAATCCTACTAGATAAAAGGAAGAACATGAGGTAGCTCAGGAGTTAATCACAAATTTAAAATTAAGAGAAAGATGAAATAAATACATGTTAAACAGAAATGTATAAACCAAAAGTAGAGGACACCTGGCTAGGCCTCGTAATTAGGTGGCAACCAAAAGCTGTCCAATATGTGAATATCTTAGAGAAGGCCAACATTATAGGATTATAAGCTTTTTCCCGCTAGTGTGACTAATCGAGGAGTCAGACTAGTATGAAAGTCTCACCCTCAACCGCTTAGAAATTTGAAAAATAGGGAACTAGAGAGATGATATTTTTTTTGTTACCCTCAATGCGCCAAAGAAATTAAGAACAATTCCTCCATTTAATACAGATATAGACAAATATGTAACTCACCAAATCATGTTTTTGAGCAGTCTGGGATATCTTTGCTGGGGTTATATGTCGCCTTGGAGTGACAGACACTTTTGCTGGCGTCAATCTTGGGGTCTTAGCAACAGTGGGAAACTTTGTGGCTGTTGACTTGTCAATTGTAATCTCTTCATTGTCAATACCGACAGAATATTCTGTGAATTTTTCAAACAAGTAACTTGGAATTTCTCGCTCCCTTTGAATTGAACAGGAGTCTTGTTCAGTTTCAGATACACTGGGGTTCAAAGCCCTGTCATTGCTGAATGACCGCCTTCTTATGTCAGTAAGAATATCATCTTGCTCCACAAATCTAGTTTTCTTTACGAAGTTGGAATCAGACCACCGACTTGGGAAACTGTTGCACCTAGGGCTATTCAATTTCAGATGAATTTTGAGGACATATGGCTGAAGATGTGGATGAGTGAGCAACTCTGAAGCCTGAATCATTTCCATTTTATTGAGGTGCTTTAGTTTATAGAAAAAGAAGTTGAAGGACGTAAATTTGGCAAAATCATATTTCAATCAAGAAAGCCAATGTACCCAAAAAGATGTCTGACATATAGAACATGCAAATTTTTCTTCTTGTTTTTTTTTTTTGGGCCAATTTTGACATCTTTTGCATCTCAACTCTGAGGCCACAAGTTCAAAATTTAAGAGAATATCAATTCTTCTCTAAATCAAATGTTGATTCAAGCAAGTGTTTTAAATTTTCCTTAGATGCTTGCATACAAAGAAAAGCTCAACATCACTAACTTCTTTAAAACCAAGGTCTGTCAGCCTAGTCTCAATTATTGATAACTTGACCTACTCCAAGTAAAATAGTAAACAAGTCCACATAATTATTTTTTTCCTAAGACAAGTTATTCCTCTTGAGGATATCTCCTCGTGATTGTGTCTGTAAAAGCAGTAAAAGATTAAAGAAGAAAAGGAAAGAAACAAACACTGGGTCTAAGTTCTGGATTCTTCCGTAGCATGCTTTTTATGAGTCCCCGACTGAGGCAAGGGAAAAGAAACGGACCAGAAACCAATGTTATTAATAAAGGTTGGATGCATCAATAGAGATAACCATAATGATCTCAAATATTTTCCACAAATGATGAGATTCCACATTATTTAAAAAAGTCAAATTGTATTTAGAATGTGAAACTTATACGCATAAAGAGGACAGAAGGCTCACAATGCACCAGAATACATGGTTGGTAGAGGAGACACTATAGATCTATTTATTTTGTTAATCAGAGCCCGCATATCCTGATGAGAAGACAGAAACAGAACATAACTGTTAGGTTCACTAAATGCAAAAGGATGGATGACCATTAAAGGGATATGTAACATCCATGGATATGGGATTGTCCCTGGTTCTACAAATAGCATACGAAATAAGCATGTATCTTTTAAATGTGATTCTATCATCTAACAGCATGATTAGCCATTTAGGTTAACACTGGGATGTTAAGATCAGGAGCTAATTAATGATGAGTGTAAGGAGATAATCCATATCACTGTGAATCCATCCTTGCAGATCAATTTGCTTCTTCAACGTACGTGGACACAGATGACAAATTTAATGGTAAGCCAATGATCCTTCAGAAAATTTTCAATTAAGACACAAATTGCAAGTGAGTCTAAAGATTGGAATAATCATCTTTTCTACCTCCCCCATCTATGAAGCATTATCCCAGCAGTTTGCTCAAAGGTTCATCCAGCGTTGAGCGCTTGGGGACAAAGTAGAGAACCATAAAGATATGCTTAAAAAAGCAAATTCAATGCATCCATTACGACACGACATGGCTTGCTTTGTTGAATTCGAGTCTAGTTCTCCCCCTTCGGCTTCTTCCCCGCTGGTCGACTTCAGGCTCCTTTCCTAGCCTATTAGTGACTCTCCCGGTTGACTAACTTTTAGAAACTCTATCCAGCCTGAGTTCTTAATGGGAACTATTAAATAGCAGCACCATAAGTACTTTAATGAGGGATGATGATGGAGAGAGAACAGGAATGCTAAGCACAACCACTTCATATTTCATAGGACTCAATAACTAGAGGTTCATCATTCAGTCCCTCAAGTATTATTGAATGAAAGAATAGTTTCCAATTACCAATTCATCAAATTCCACATTACTACAAACTGTGAATGTGATAATGCCAAGCAACAAAAAGTGAAGTTCTTAGTTAACAGCAGATAAGCAACTTACAAAAGCTTTAAATGCAGGTTTGTGAGCAGTCATTTCATACAGGCAGCATCCTGAAGTGAAAACATGTATTACATTAGATGTGTGCTGAATACAGAAGGGATTGGAGGAGGGGAGAGAACAGTGATCAAACTCAGATTTCCCTCAAATTTCAATAGTTGCAAGGTACCTAAAGACCAAAGATCTGACTTAGAACCATAAGGTATATCAGCAAGCAACTCAGGGCACATATAACTAGGAGTTCCCACAACCTGTATTTAGAGCCAAGAAGAAATATAGTATTAAAATAAAGCAAATCATGAAACTGTAAAAACCATACCATCAGTCTGACACTCACAGATGAAGCAAGGTCATCAGAAGTCAACATCTTAGCAAGACCAAAGTCACCTGCATAGGTGCACATCTTAGCAACTCACCATGTTTAAAATACAGAATGATGGACACAGAGGTGAAATTGACACATGGTAAACGGAGCAACAAAGTAGATCATGAAAATTAGGTGCAAAAGGACTGATTACCTAAACGTATGTCTTGATCTTTTGTCAAGAATATATTTGAGCACTGAAACAAAATTATAATTTAGAATGCTGTAAGCCCGAAATTTGCATACATTAAATTTCCCATCTTTACCAAGAACAACCACTGACCTTGACATCACGATGAAGAATATGGTTGGCATGCAAGTAATCAAGTGCCATTAGGAGTTGAACTAGCCACTTGCAAAGTTTCTGTGTATAATTTATTAAGTAGAAAAACAGAAATTATATTTTAAAGTATCGTAGATAGCTAAGTCCTTGCAAAGTTGGCCAAAAGTTTTACTACCTCCTCAGAGAAATGCACACCATTGGCTCTTTTTATAGCTTCTGCCCTGTATAATGAGCAATATCAATGTGCAGATGTAAGAAATACCCAAAATAAAAAATCATGCCTTAATCAATTGCCATTTGCCAAACAATTTCAAAACACCCACTTAAATATTAAACATAACTTACATATCTCCTCCTTCACAGTATCCTATTATTATGCAAACATAGCAACCCTGCAAAATGAAAACAAGTTACAACATTCAGTAGACAAACTTTATTATCAATGCCTATGGTGATGATTGAAGATTATACAGCTTTGACAGAGGAAACATATCATGAAAAATATGAAACAAGAAAGCATGAGGCAGGATAAAATGAAAAAGAACACACTATCTTCTCACCCTTTCTACCCAAGAATCTTTGTATTCCACAATAAATGGATTCTTCACCTGAGAAATAAGCTCCATCTGCATCATTGGAACAAAAGAGCATTTTAACACCAGAACTATTTCTTAAAACGTGGATCATAATTTTGGAGTATAAATGATGCCACTCATGGAAAAAGAGAAAAAGGAAGGTGAACAAGAATGTCTTTAGATATAAATATAATTAAGTGTCAAGTATCCAAATACTCATAAAGAACCATATCTAAACACCTGCCACCATAGATGTTCTTACTTACAATATTACCTATGAGCCAAGCATTTCTTTCATTTCAAAAATTGCTCCAATCTTTTTAGTTTCTCCAAATTGAGAGAAATTATTTATGCATATATTTATGAGAGAAAGTCAAACGTGTCATCAAAGTTCTCTTCACATTGTTGTTAGTAGAAAATTAAAAAAGAGAATATTAAAAAAAACTGACCTCTTGATGGGCAGATCTACGAGCCCTATCAGTCTGGCGAGCAAGGCGAATCTTTTTCAGGACATACCTAGAAGGAAAAGAAGAACGTGGGCAATTCTTAACATAATAAACAAAAAAGAAACCACCTCACCACACACAATTGAAGATTAAATATGCAAACAACCAATGAAACAAATATAGCACAATCCAATACATTCATTTAGTCACATACAAAGCAACCAATGAGGCAGGAGCATAAGCGAGCATTGAAATTTGAAGATAGAGAGTGAAATAGAGGTTCCAAGTAAACTCACTTCTTCTTTTCATGTTTATGCCTCACAAGAAGAGCAGAACCAAAAGACCCTTTACCAATCTGCTCTAGAATTTCATACTGCTCCATATTGAAGGATTCTGCCCCACTCTTGAGGCGGGGTCAAAGAGTTTTCTACTGTTATAGCAACAAGTAAATTTGCAGGACAAAATCAGTTATCAATTTAACCGTAAACAAGAAAAAACACTAACATTAAAACAAAAGAAAATAATGTCCTCCCAACGAGAAAAGAAAAAGAAAAGCGTGCAGAGATCTACAGTAAAAATCAGATATAATGACTTCTAAACCAATACCGCTCTAAATACGCCAATATTTTTGGCCGTTTTCGATGGGATGAAGAGAATTAGTTAGGACTCGACCTTCAAACCGGAAAGTTCAACGAAACATTTTAATTTCTACAAAATCCTCAGCCAAAATTAATATATTCCGGAAAAGTTCAAAAATCATGTAACTTCAAACTTTAAATTTTCAGAAAAAAAAAAAAGAAAAAAAACGAAACGTTTCTTGTGGCATTTAATTTAAGCAGCTGTCAAGTACTGGCCTGAGTAAAATGCATCACTTTCCTCTATTCTACTTCTTTATAACAACTAAAATTAAGAAATTTAAAAAGAAAGTTTCTTCTGTGTATTTCCATTGACGACGAAAATCCAAGGAGAAAAACAAGAAACGAGAAGCTACCTGAAGCGAAAAGAAAAATGGCAGCTGAAAGAGAACAAGCGGGATCTTTTTGAACTCCTTTGAAGCAAAATATAAAAAAAGAAAGAAATCCTTCATTTCACTATACTTAAACTAAACCAGTTTTTTTTTTTTTTTTTGATAGGATAAAATTGAATTTCGAATGGAACGTGGAAGATTCTTACCTAATTTAAAGCAGCGGCAACCTGTTTCTTATTACATTATTTTATTATAAATTTGGGAGAAAGATAGAGAGAGTGAAAGAGCGGCGAATGAACGAACTGTGTGGAGGAAGAAAAGAAAAAAAAAACGAGGTGACGGTGAAGAATTTAAAATTCAAAATACAGTTTTAGAAGAGAGAGAAAGGTCAAATGGCTTTTTCAAGGAATTTTGTTTTTATACGGATTTTTTTTTTTCCTTTTGGGAGGGAGAGAGGGGTGATTCCGGGAAGCGACAAGAAAGAAAAAGGAACAAAAGAAGTGCACGGGTGTGGTAGAGGTAGAGTTTTGGTTTCTCTGCGACGCGGTCATCCTTGGACTTGTTTATGATGTTATCGCAGTAAAACGGCAGCGTTTTCAAAGGTTTTGCGGAAGATAATCGACGGTGAGAATGATTTCGCTACCCCACCTGTACATCGACTCCCCACCTTACAAAGATTTCATTTGGACTCCTTCAGATTTTCTTCCTTTATAAATTTTTAAAAAACCAATACTATAATTTTAATTTATATTTTATAAAAATATTAATAAAATATTTTTATTTTATTCCATTTTGCATTATTATTTTTTTTTTCAAAAGAGTTGCAGCCCCAATTTGACGTCGTAGGCCTAATGAGGTAGTTGAATTCAATTAGATTGATATGCTTGATAATGAGTTTCCAACCTTTAAATTGTTTGAAAGTAAGTGTCTTTGGTACCAATCTACCAGATGTGAGACTCTTCTTAAAAAAGAAAGCCACAAGAAAAAACATCTGAATTTTGTCATTTCAAAATTTTGCTAAATTTAAGATTTTATTGGCTAGGCAGTCCCACCTTTTTATTTAAATTTTGGTTTTTTTGATTAAAAGCCATTAAAGCTGCAATGTCAAAGTCTTAGGTACATGAAGTCATCAACACATAACAGCATGATTTTTCTTGATAATGATACCCAACTCAATGTGACTCTTTTAGAAGTGGGCCAAAGAAATGGGCTGGAGGATTAGGGTTTTCGATTATGATTATACATTGCCTTGCAACAAAGAATGTGGGCTTTCTTCGGACTTTCAATTTCGGGAATTGCTATTTTGGGCTTGAGCTGTATAAATCTTGACTTCACTGTAATGGTTAAGAGTGAAGACATCGTAGATAATCCATTATAAAAAAAAAATTATTTTTTTGCAACGTGGTCAATGATGTTTTAAACTTCACTTGTGTCTAATATTCTCTTAGATAATCTTAAAAGTGCAATTCCATATATAATTAAAAAAAATTATAGTATATCCAAAGTTAAGAAATTATTATGTAAAATACTCTTCACCCAAAAATGTTGTTGGAATCCCATCAAAAAAGAAAATTATCAAAGTGGTGAATGGTGATAATGGTGGTGCAGAAATTCAAATAAATAATAGTGGTAAGCTTGAGATAATGCTATATAAGTAATAGACCAACTTTTCAGTAGTCTAAGATAGCATATATAGATTGTCTGCAACAAAAAGGTAATGTTTCTTCTACATTTAGTTTAGATTTTAGAGGATAACAAATCTCTTAACACCCCACATTCCCTTTTCAGTTGCATGAACAAATCCATCAAATGTCGTTTCCTTTAGTCTTATCTTCATTTGCATTTAACTGACCATTATCTTTTGGCCATTTCTGGCTTTTCCCATAATCTTATAGCAGAAAACAAATTATTCAGATATATATGTGTATTTCAGGAAGTTTTTGGTATCTGCTTTGAACATGTAATCATGTAATTATTCGACATGTTTTGTTCATTGAACTTTCCATCTAGTCTTTTTTTTTTTTTTTTGACTAATTGTTTGAGAGCCATCAATTATAAAGCTTGGTGAAGGTTACTGAGCTTTATCTATGACAAAGATTAATCACCTCTCTTTAGTTATTTCTTTCAAGTTGCTACTCAACTTTCTGTATGAGAGAGACAGATCAATAATGAATTTTGGAAAGAAGGGGTCATCAAAATTAAGAAGGAAATTGACAAGAGAAAAATATGGGACATCCCGACATAGATTTCACCACGGGAATCTTGAAAAGGAGGTTCATTAATTTGGATCGAATTGCCATTTAGATTAGGAAGGGCGCATTCTAATGCCAATATCTACTGTATCGATACTCCTTGCGCCTTTGGCAAACGTATGTCGTGACAACAATTCATCAAAAACTGAAGAAAATCTTACCAAGTGTTCATTAAAAAAAAAAAAAAATGTTTTTAATTACCTGCGTTTTGTTGAGTACAAATTTTGCACAATATTGGTGACTGATCTGTTAAATTTTGAAACTTTTTTCCGAGGAATTTGATCCATGGATAACAGGAAACATTAGTCCGTTGACTAATTAGGAAAACAATAACTTGCAACTTCATGTTGGGTTCATTTGGATTTGTTTTCATTTCATTGCCTGAATGTGTTGCCAGTCCACACTATCATGATTCGTGAAAAGTAAGGCTGCCCATTTGCCAATTCCCAACTTGAAGGTACATCTATGATAGCTTAGCCATTGGTGGTTGCTCTTGAAGTAGACAGATGTAATTTAACCGTCCCATAAATGCTAAAGAAGTGATAATCATAGCTTGAGGTAGGGTCAAAACGATTCATTTATAGATCACATAATAATAAAAGCAGCTATAGTTGTCGTGTGTTGTTAGTGGAATGGGTTTCTTTGGAGCCATTTTTCATGTTTGGACCACAGGAACATTGCAGTCCATATTTCCATAATAATAATAATAATAATAATTATTATTATTATTATTATTATTATTATTATTATATAAGCTTATATATATTCATGAATCTGGGCCACCTGGAAAATGGCAAGAGGTTAGGTCTTAATTGGGACTCGAGCAAAGCAAACCAGGAGAGAGGGATGTGGGAGAGAAGTTGGGAAAAAAATTTTGTTTTTATTGGAGGTGGACACGAAATTAGGCACCTTTGTAGCAGGCAAGAAAAAGGTTGAAGGGCATGGATAAGTGCTAGCTAACACGCTTTGTGTGATGGGAAAAAGGAGTAACAGGAACATGTGAAATGTGATCTGGCAAGCTATAGTAGTATCAGCGAAGAAGTGGTAGTTTCTTTCACTTTCGTTTTCAAATTCCATTTTGCAGCTCTATTATGCGTACTTCTTTTCCTTTTGTTAGATGCTTCTCTTCTTTATTCTGAATTATTCTTGATGATCCATGGCCATAGATGGTCACCTCACCTTGCTGTAACTTTATAGGCCATTCATATTGGAAGCTACTGAGCTTATATCAAATTTCACATGTATTATCAGTGTCTAATTAACGCCATTTTTGGTTAGACAAATAAAGCTTTTAGGAATACAGGACATTAGAAATAATTGAGTTTTGCTAGTAATTGTTTTGAAATTAGTTGAAACATGTGAGAACGTATATATAAAGCTTGAGCCTGGAAGGGATGAATCTCAGCTTTTAAAGCTATGCTTCACATTGGATAAGTAGTTAACATATAATCCTGCCTTCTAAGAAAGAAAAATGATCCTTTTACTTGTAGAACGTTACTTGAGAAACAGATTGTTGAAGATTTCTCATTCAGTACTGCTTTTTTCTAACCATAAACCAAGTAATTATAGTAAATATATTAAATACATCATTCTGGGGCCACATATTAGGTGCCTTTAACTTCTCCATGAGTCTACTTAGCTATGATGACAGAATTGAACCTTGAAATTCTTTCTAACTTCGGGATTAAGGTTTTTTTTTTTTTTTTTTGTCTCCTATTCAATCTCTTCACCTTTTTACATGATATCAGCATATTCAGCACCATTCATTTTTCCCAAATCTTTGAACCTCTCAGAAAAGAAAATTCAACCTTCAGTAGTGGTGGTCACTGGTCACCATTCACCAACTCTCTTCCCGTCTCTCATGCTTCCTTCTCCATTCTATTGATAATTAATAATCCCTTTTATTGACCTCTGCATTGATTAAGATTTTCCTGATACTCAAAATCATTACTTAAAACTCAATAATTAAGTGATTATGATGCAAATAACAGTGCTCCCACGTAAATTTGGATGGGGTCCTACTCCAAATGCATCTACTGCTGACTCAATTATTAGGCCGACGGGTCATCTAAATAGTGTTAAATGTTCCTAGTCCCAACAGTAACAGGACTTAAGGCCATAATTTAGTCAAAAGATTTTGTTTCGTCGTTGAGTTACAAGCGGACCATTGGCCAGTGTAGGCACACATTTTCTGTGGCCACCAAACTTGAGGCCTCTAAAAGGAGGATTCTCGTACCTCCATTGCCGTTTGGAAATGTAGCCCATTTGAGTTATTATTATTATTGTGTCTTCCAAATGCTCAAAAACTTTTATCAAACATAGTAAAGATATATATCACAACGTCATTTGAAAATTCGTCATTGAAGATAAAATTTAAGAATTTGAATTGACGAATCAAATTTGTATTGATAATCATATCAATTTTAGATTTGATTTAAAATCATTTATCAATTTGCTCTTAAACATATAATTATTATGTAATTTTCTAACTAAAAGCACTCCTTTCATATTTAATTTTTATGTTTAAATATAATTATTCTTATGTCAAATTTAATTAAGCTATATTTTCGATAATGGTTGAAATTTGTATCACCCTCCTCTTTGTATCAGTCTCCCATGAGATTGGAGAAGGCCAAGTTCCCCACTACGATTATGCTACAGCAGAAATAGATATTATAAGCACGGGGGTTGACATCAGCGCAGTTTCGTGCATTAGAGAAATGGACTTATTAATTTGTTGGAAT